CTATCTATCTATCCACAATGCAACCTATTTTCACCGACGAGCCTTGGTGGCGCACAAAAGCCAGAGCCAAACGGTGCCTTCTCTCCAGTATCAAATCAGTATCAGGCTGAGACCCACCCCCACCCACCGTTGACCAGGAAATGGAACGACTACAGAAGGCTGGTGTTCTCCAATCGACCAACCACCCTTTATGGGCCGCACCGAACTTGGACGAAGAAGGCTAACAAAGCCATCCGCGTGGGTGAAGATCGCTCCACCGGTCTCAATACTGCGCTGGATACCAATCAGTTCTCTCTAACCCTTTCAGACGATTTACTCGCGAAACTGAATGGTGCTAGATTTTTAGCGTAGATTGACTTGACCGATGCTTGCCTCCAGGTTGAAGCTGAGGAAGAACCACGAGAACTTCTTGCAGTCTGTAGGCTCCATGGTCTGTTGCAGGATGCTTGGCTGCCATTTGTTGTCAAAGCAGCGCCAGCCATATTTCAACAGCTCGTAGTGGATACGATACTGGATGCTTCTGCCGTTGCCCCCTAGTTGGACGATCTCATCGTCATGGGTTCCAACCAACACGAATTGTGACAGTGCCCTGGTTGCGTGCTTGGTCGTACTCAAGAATGTGGCTTCGGAGTGCGCCGAGAGGATTGCACCTTCTTCATGCGGTCAATGAAGTGCCTCAGCTTCATCATTGGACACCATAGCAGCTGGTAACATCCGGCGAACATCAACGCTATAAAACGTATACAAGCACCCCAAGACTTGACATCCCTCAGGTCTTTTCTGGGTTTCCTAAATCAATACCGTTTGTTTCTGCCCGCCATGCACCGCCTCCGAAGCCCAGTAAGCCAGCTACTTATGAAGGTCCAATAGTGGGCGTTGTCAAATGAATGCCAATGTACCCTTGACTCCGTCAAATATATGCTGAGCTACGATTTCCTACCCAACAACTGCGATCTGTCGCTGGAAATCGCTGTGGTGACGGATGCTTCTAAATATGCATTTGGTGCAGTGATTTTACCTCTATTTCCCAGCAGTAGCCAAAAAGCCGCTGCATGTGCTGCCAGATCCCTGAAATCAGCCGAGCGAAACCACAGCCAGATAGAAAAGGAAGATTTGCTGCCAAAATTGCTGCGTACCTGCCCAAATAATGAACTGAGGCCTTACTCCAAACGGTGCAGACCTTCGTCGGGAGCATAGTATATTTCATATCCCCCGGCCATCTTTTCACCCACAGCCGAACAGCCAGGCGGAACGCTTTGTTGACATTCTGAAGCAGGCTCTTCAGAAGCCCAGAGAGAATGGACCAATGGAAGAGGGTTTACAAACATTCCTGTTGGCACGTTAATCGGTGCCAAGCCCCGAATCAACGAATGGAGTCTCGCCAGCGGGGGCGCTACTCCGAAGGAGGCCTCGAACGCCATATGATACTATCCGGCCATAGAAAATTTACTTTGTTCACCGCATCACCGAAATGGAGGAATAGTTCAACGGGCATCATGGAACAACCGTGAGCTCCTTCAGCAAAGGCCAGGGAGTGGCCTTCAACGGCAGACATCCTATGTGGATTCCAGGTCACATCCTTCACCGGCGTCGCAAAGTTCTCCACGAGATTTAAGTTGGCCGAGCCAGGTGGGCACCAACACAAGCCAAACGCGGACGACAAATTCGAAGATTCCGCGAACGGGATCTAGTGAGTTGGGTCTAGCGACTCTTCTGGACACTTTTAACGTTGGCATCATCCCAGAAGATCCATCAGCTGCCACGTCGGAGGCCCAGCTCAAGTAGGGCTTACGACGTCAACGCTGGCAGACAGGATTCGCAACCCAGTGAGGCCAACGCAAGTGGGGCCTTGGCCTTAAAGCTTCATCAACAAGCTTCACGGAAGAAGTGTTAAGCAGAACTCCACACGGATACCGCCTTACCACTCGCGGTCAGGCACCGCTACGGCCTATGCCGCACAAGACTGGCCAACTGTGCGGGACGCTTGTCGGTCCGTCGTCAACCTAGATCTGATTGGTCAAAAGTGCGGACCAAGCAGCCAAGCATGACAGAGTACTGACCGAATATCGGTTGCCAGTGGTGCATCCAGAAGGCGTCAGAATTTCTACAATATTGCTGCCGCTTATAACGCCCCGTAAAATTGTTTCCCAATTCTTCGGTGAAGCTTCGGGTGCTAGATTGCCCCTTGGTGAATTCCTGCTTCCGGTCCTAGCAGCGGTAGGAGCACTTCTTGAAGGTGAAAGACTGAGCAGTCTAAATTTAGCGATTGCTCTGACAGCGACGACTGAGAGCCCTATCCGTCTATCCGTCAGCTTGGTGAGGCCACATAGTGCATGGTAATCTTTTCGATTCGTAGTTCCGCAGCAACGCATTCTGGGCAGGAAGTCAGACGAGGCACTAAAAACGAGATAATCTTCCATAAAAGCTGGGCTTAAGGTCGTTCTCAAATAAGAATGTAAATAGCGTGCGCACTGATCGTTTGGTTTTATAGTGTAGTTATCCTCAACACTTGGACCGTCAACGACTTTCGCACACTTCTAGGCCTGCATCAGTTCTGATAAGGACTTAGGCTATGAGCGTCTGAACAGCAACGTTGAAGCAGAGCTGAATGCTGAATGTGGGTAAAGAGTACATGGCCAGAACGACCACCGTCATATTCCACAGTGAACATAAGGTCACATTTGCAGAGTTCAGTAAGAAGCGATGTGATATCATCTACCCAGGTACGAAAGACAACCTGCGTGACAGTGAAGATCGCCACTTTGTACGGTATCTCTAGCTTTCATGGCGGCCAGCTCCATCCAAAATCGATCCTCAAATTAATCTTGCATGTCAGACGACGGAGTTCTCTACTTCAACAGATCACTGCATTCGTTTGATTCGTTGCTTGCCAGGCTCTGGATGGAAAAGGTGAAGTCAAAGACCAACTGGCTTATTGGGTGGTTATTCCAAGATAGAGAGACATTACTACAAAAGGGTCATTATTTGGACTAAGACAGAACCTTAGCAAAAACTTAGCAAAACGCCCGTCGCTTATCATAAAAATTCCACCAAGCTGAGAAGAGTGTTTCGATCTTGGCTGATTTCGGGGGGACAGCTGCCGCGGAAGTGGAAAGCGTTTTAGTATATGTGCTGCGGACATCTCCTTCATTTTGGGTTCACGCGGACAAAAGATACCTAGATATTGTTATGTACTCCAAGCGACTCGCACATCCACTAAACAGGGAAGAAGATAGAGCAATGAAGTTCCCTGGACATCTCTGTCTTCGACAGTCCATGGATAGACCTTTAGTGCGTTTGGATAAATTGGAACATAACTGTGGATGTCAGTGGAGGGTTTTGCTTTTTGAATAAATAGCTTAAAATGCTAAAAGTTCATATGAAGTTTTTTATCGGTGTTGGCTTCAGAAGACCCTGTGCATGCACCTTAGAACGATCGTGTTTAGTGATTCCAATTTCCCCAGTGTCACCAGCAAAATTTCAAAACCCTGTTCATCAAAAATGTTTATTGAAAGATACTGTCCCGTATATATGGTGACTAAGTGCAGGTTATACACGCCTGATACAAAAATTGGTTTTAGAATAGACAATGTTAAGGACTGCTACAACAAACCGGATCACCTCATTGGGGTTGACAGGGAACTAGTTAATTTTATTCAAATCACTATATAGAGGGCTATCCCTCCTCAGACGACGGAGTTCTCTACTTCAACAGATCACTGCATTCGTTTGATTCGTTGCTTGCCAGGCTCTGGATGGAAAAGGTGAAGTCAAAGACCAACTGGCTTATTGGGTGGTTATTCCAAGATAGAGAGACATTACTACAAAAGGGTCATTATTTGGACTAAGACAGAACCTTAGCAAAAACTTAGCAAAACGCCCGTCGCTTATCATAAAAATTCCACCAAGCTGAGAAGAGTGTTTCGATCTTGGCTGATTTCGGGGGGACAGCTGCCGCGGAAGTGGAAAGCGTTTTAGTATATGTGCTGCGGACATCTCCTTCATTTTGGGTTCACGCGGACAAAAGATACCTAGATATTGTTATGTACTCCAAGCGACTCGCACATCCACTAAACAGGGAAGAAGATAGAGCAATGAAGTTCCCTGGACATCTCTGTCTTCGACAGTCCATGGATAGACCTTTAGTGCGTTTGGATAAATTGGAACATAACTGTGGATGTCAGTGGAGGGTTTTGCTTTTTGAATAAATAGCTTAAAATGCTAAAAGTTCATACGAAGGTTTTTTATCGGTGTTGATTTCAGAAGACCCTGGGCATGCAACTTAGAACGATCGTGTTTAGTGATTCCAATTTCCCCAGTGTCACCAGCAAAATTTCAAAACCCTGTTCATCAAAAATGTTTATTGAAAAATACTGTACCGTGGATATGGTGACTAAGTGCAGGTTATACATGCCTGATACAAAAATTGGTTTTAGAATAGACAATGTTAAGGACTGCTACAACAAACCGGATCACCTCATTGGGGTTGACAGGGAACTAGTTAATTTTATTCAAATCACTATATAGAGGGGCGCCTATCCCTCCATTCCCAATGCGCCAAGAAGGATCTTCCGGCATGGTCACTAATATCGATGGTCTCAAGCAGTATCCTACCAGCAACAATCCTGCACTGACGATGTCACCTACATTGGTGATGAAACGTTTGCGATCCAGCTGCCAAGCTCGGCGAACAGACGAACGACCAAGCAGCGAACTCCAGCTATCTACATTCCACAATAGTGCTAAGTAAGATAAGAGTTCGTTTGTCAGTTTATTTGTCTATACATGGCACCAGCCTCCGTAAAACAGTGCTTGTACGTGACATCTCATCTGCAATGAAAATTAGCCACACACTGCCCATGACAATATTTTTCACCAGCACCACCCGATTACCATTATCCTAGTGTTCCATAATTTTTAGCTGTACGCATTGCTGCCAGCGACTGACACACCTGTTTACAAGCAAAATACTTTGGGAGCGTTTTGAAAGTGCTTAAAAAATGGCTCCTATGTTTGATTACGCCACTATAAAGAAGGTCATTCCTGGTGCTTACATAGAAATCCAGGTGCCTGTATGCAGATGGTGTTGAAACGTCAATATTTAAAAACCAGACTCACTAGCAGTGTCGTAATCGAAATCTCACAGCCGAGCACAAGGGTCGGGCTCAAAATCAAACTGCGGGTTACCTCGAGAATTTTCGGCTTTTGATGCCAGTAAAATATACAGAACGTGACCTTTTTCGTTGGAAAATTTGCTTCCTACCTTCAAAGATGAAGAATTAATGCACCTTTGCAAACTAGAGCCGTGAAATAGGTCTCCTTACGAAAACCCATATTATTAAGCAAAGCCAATGCAAGAGACTTCCCTCTCCCATGCTGAAGCGCTCAGTGAGGTTTGCGCGTTCGAATGAAATTTTCAAGCTTTAGAGGGACACAGTTGATCGTCAAACTCTTATGCCTCGACCAAATCCGCTATTTCGGAGTGACCGTTTTCAATATATTTCTCCGTAGAAATACAGATGCCGCTACCTGGGAATGACGATTAGAGTCAGTAAATTGAACCATTTCTAATCTTCTGTCTCGACAAATTTCATCCTTATTCCTCGATTCGCCGAACGTTTACGTTGCTGCATTTATTTTTTACTAATTTCGACCGCCTACGTTACTAAAAAGTAGCTGTTCTGGGGCAACCGAACAAAGGATAAATCGTTGATAGTTTAACACCGGGCAGTGCGCTTGACACCAGTTATTGGCAAACTCATGAAAGGGAACCTCACAGAAGCCCTTCGCCACTCCCACCGCAAGGTCTGATACCATGAAGACGGAGAATTGTTTTTCCAACGAAAACCAAACATGCCGCTGCGCCTAACCCTCATATGTTTCAATCTTCAGCCTCAAACCGCAGCAACCGGCGTTGGGTTACTAGATTCATCTTCCGGCGTCAGTGAGAGCCTCATTATTCCAGATGAATGATTAGCGCCACCAACTGAACTTTTATTTTTTGGCACGAAAAAGCCTGTCCGTAGTCGATAAACGTAATTGAGCCTTCAGGTCCGGTCTCCCTTACAGCTCTTAAGGTTTGGGCGCCCCGTGAATTCGGGGCAAGTGCCTGGCTGTAGTGTTTGAGATTAGTAGATGCAGGTTTTGTGCAATGGAGCTTGGCCCCAGGATCTAACGATATTTTTGCACGGGTACATAGTATGCTCTTTTTGGAAAATAGCTGGAAGTTTGAACTTGAGTTGCGCATTGGAATCTAAGACCCATGGCTTCGAAAGCGTTTGTGATTGAAGCACTAGCACTTCAAAGACGTCGGGCTTTCATTTAGCGAATGACTGCTTTGAACTTTTCTCACGATATTGCACTCACATTTTGCGTTGCCAGTAGTTTTTATTCAGGATTCCGAAATAAAATTTTTTTGGATTAATGCAGGGAATAGCAGGATCTAGGGACGCTAATTGGGCAGAATTTTCCGATAGCAAAAACCTCAACCTCGGAGTTCGAGGAAGTTTGAAGTCCGTATCTTTGATATTATTTAGTTTCTTCTCACGTGCCTCCGCCTCTCACTGTGACTGAAAAAACTGTAGCACTTGCAATTAGTGGAGTAACCTTTAAATCCATGTACAAATTGATCCAGGGCCTGTAGTAGTTCACAAGCTTCCGGTATTTTACATCAGCCATACACGATGAAAAACCACGTTCAAGCACCGTAGACATTTCGCCGATCAACAGTTTGAAGAGTTTAGATTCAGTGGCGCTGACTGTTATCAAGTATTCTTTAGTCTGATATGGCCCTCGTTGTCTCGGGCAAGATGGCTGTACGCATTTAAGAGCGCAACACTGTGAATACAGCGTGAATTTTCCGCGTGGCAGTTGATATCCTGCCAAATTTGGCAACGCCGGGAGGTGACGGCATACCATCGCGTGTCCTGAGATATGGCGGTCAAGATGTCAAAACACTTGTCCTAAATCTTTTTACCCACTCAGTAAACTCTGGAATCGTCCCCTCTCAATGGAAACAATATGTCGTTCGCCCCCATTTTAAATCCGGATCCAGGCAAACTGCTACAAATTACAGAGGGATCCACCATACTCCTCTTTTAATGCGAACCCTCGAACGTCTGGTAAAAGGCCCTTTAATCAGGTTTCTCCTAGCTACAAACGCCATAGATGATCGACAGTATGGATTCCTATCTCAGAGATCCGTAAACGGCTGCCAGCTTCACTTTTTTGAGACCATCACAGCAGCTTACGACGCTGGATACGCCATAGTAACAGTCTATCTAGACATCCAAAAAGCCTTCGACCAGGTCCCCCACGCCTCCCTGCTACACAAACTTAGCACCGTTGGCATCACGGGAACCTTATTTCAGTGGTTTGCCTCCTATTTATCAGACAGGAAGCAAATAACGCAAAT